TTTACAGTTGAATGTGAGAGATGGTGTTCCACCCCTTTTCTTCACTCCGTATTCTATGTTTAATCTGTGTGAGTGATCTAGTTTTTGTCTTTGCCATCATCTGGTGTTATCACTATTTTTTAAAAGATATTTTAATTCTGGTAAAATATTCATACAAATTCCTTTTTTTTTTATTTTTATTTTTGTGGTGCTATGGATAGAATCCAGGGTCCTCACACACACTAAAAGCAAGTGGTCCACCACATCCCCATTCCCAAATTTGCCCTTAAAGTGTACATTTCTAAGGCATTAAGTAGAATCATAATAATATATGACCACTACTGTTTGTTTCTAGAAGTTCTTCATCTTTTTATCATCCCAAACCCAAACTGTACCCCTAAAGTAATACATTACTCCTTTTCCTCATTTTCTAGTACCCTCTAGCCTACTGTCTATAGATTGCCTATTTTAGTTATCTCATGTAAGTGAAATCATAAGTTTGTCTTTTTGTGCCTGACATTTTATTTTATATAGTGTCTTTAAGGTTTATCCACATTGTAACATGTGCCAATTTCTTTTTATTTCCTTTTTTTCTACTTTTTAAGGCTGAAAACACTATTGAATGTATATTCTGTATTTTATTTATCTATTCATTTGTAGATGGTCATTTTTTTTTCCCTTTCAGCTACTGGGAACAATGCTTCTGTGAACATTGTATGATATATATCAGTTTGAGTCCTGCTTTCAGTTCTTTTGCCTGTATGCATAAGGGTGGTACTTTAGCTAAATCATATAATAATTCTATGATTAACTTTTTGAGGAATTGTCAGACTTCTCCACAGTGGCTGTACTGTTCCCGTCAGCAGTGCACAAAGGTTCTGTTCATATCCTCACCAACACTTGTTATTTTCCTTTTTAATATTTAAAAAAATAGTTCCTCAGTGAATGTGAGGTAGTGTCTCATTGTGGTTTTGGCTTTATTTTCCTGAAGGTTAATGATGTTCAGCATCTTTTCACGTACTTACTGGCCACTTATATACTTTGAAGGAATGTCCTTTGCCCATTTTTGAGTCTGCTTGTTTTTTTGTGGGTGAATTGTGGGAGGATTTTTTATATATCCCTTTATATTTATGCTTTTCAGTACTTTCACTCTAAGTTGTCTTTACCCTTTGTTGATGGCTCCCTTTAAGCATAATTCTTAACATTTTGAATGAAGTCCAGTATACCTATTTTTCTTTTGTTGCTTGTGCTTTTGGTATCATATCCAAGAAATCATTGCCAAATCCAGTGTGAACATTTTCCTGTTTTCTTGTAAGAGTTTCATAGTTGTAGCTATTATGTTTATATTTTAGTCCATTTTGAGTTAATTTTTATATATGAAATATAACAAAAGAGCCCACCTTCACTATTTTTCATATGTATATCCATTTTTTCCCATCATCATTTTGTTAAAAATATGTCCCTTCTCCACTGCATGATGTTGACATCCTTATTGTAAATTATTTGAAAATCATGTGAAGGTTCATTTCTGGGATTTCTGTTCTATTTCATTGTTCAGTGTATCTACTTTTATACTTTTTCCACACTGTTTTGATGTCTGTAGCTTTGTAGTAAGTTTACATTCAGACATTGAAGATAACCATAAAGATGAATAAATATGGTGACTGTTTTTAAAAAAACTGAAGTGTAAGCTCTGAGAACAAAGAGTTTTATATTTTGTTTATATCATCCCTAATGTCTAGACCAGTCTCTATCATATAATACTTGCTAAATAGAAATTGCTCAGTAAATGGATCCTCCCATTTGTCATATGGGATAATTATATTTAAAATTCATATGGGATATTATATGATGGAATCCTCCTATAAGCTTAGAATCTGATGGACAGGACAAGACTAGACATGAAAATAATAGGAACAAGATTTGTTAGGTTAGCAAGTTTTTTTTTTGTTTTTTTTTTTTCCTTTCTTAAAAAACCCTTTCTTAGTTCTAAATATTGTCATCTCGGTGTGAGTATTCTGATAGCATGGGATTTGGGGGATGCACATCTAAACTTCAGCAACTACTACTTCAAGCTGGCCTACAGACTCACTTCTTAACTGGGTATGTTAAGATCTTATTCCTAGTATTTTCCACATGAGTTAACTTATGTTGTCTGCAAGTGTAAAGTTCATGGCTTGAAATCCTCATAGCACAATTTTTTTTTAAATGTTATTATTACTAAATTTAAAAGTGGAATTCTAGGCTATTGGAGATGGACAGACTTAGGAGTTTTAGAATACTTATAAATTTAAGAATTGTTTAGGAATAATGTGAGAATTCTGAGAAAGAATTCTCAGCTTGAACCTTATCAGATCTTGGGCCCAGTTGTTACAGTTAATCCCTTGCCTTGAAGCAGTTCTCTATTCTTGAATCTTCTTGGGACTTATTCTTTCTTAGGATTGGCACAAAAAGCTGCCTGTGAAACTTATCTGGTATAGAAGGACAGGAGAGAAATTACTCCAAGCCTCCGATATGAAATGCAGAACATTCACTTTTGTTCCAATTTTTATATGGCACCTTCCTTTTCCTCAGTGTAGAGGAATAAAAGAGATGATTATCTCCACTATTTGAGGTTATTACTTTAGTTTCTTTTAGGTTGTGTCACAGGAGAGTGAGGAGTTGAACCTTCAAACCTCAGTTTCTTGTATCTGATGAAAGAGAATGTAAAGTCAGACATGAAAAGCCAAGCAAGAAAAATTTTGTTGTAAGTGAAAGTGATACTCAAAGTATGATTTGGGGAGGGGGGCAGGGCATAGAGAGGGGTCTAAGCAGAGAATTACAAAGAAAACCATATTACTTCCAAATTTATTATTGTTTGATGTTTACCAGGAGAACTAGGACCCACCTTCTGTACTCATTGCCAATCACTTGTTTCACTCCTCCTTTTTGTTGGGAAGGGGAGGTTTTGACCCTAGTTGATCTTCTCCAGAACTATCAAGGAGACCATCACACACAGGGGCTTCATCTTCAAGTCATTTAATGTTAATATGAGTGTTGGGGGTCAACTTCATCTTAAAGTGCTTTACTAAAGAAATTTCCCTTCTGAAATACATTGAGAAACCTATAACTAACAGTACAAAGATCCCAGTAGACTCTGTCAGGATTTAGCACCATTGATCTTTCCTTCTGGACATTTTTCTTGATTGGTTCCCTTTGTTTTCACCTGTTTATTCCCAGGTTAGTATACCTATTGTATTTCTACAAGTTACTTGATTGTTCACTAAAGTCAATTCAAAGAAACCCTGGGACCCTGCTGCAATGTTGTTGGCTCATGTCCTATTGCTTAGTACTATTATCTAACAGTTTTAAGAAACAAATTGGTTTAGTTTTCCTTAGATATTTATTGTGGAGATATATATCTGTTGGCCTTCCATGAAAATTGATACTGTGCTGACTCTAGCTATTGTAGTGCCTACTTATCCTCTTGTCCACCAGACGTTGCCATTTTTAATATTTCTACCATTTTGATGAATCTACTTACCTCTCCTAGTAATCTGCGTCTACTCTATTTCTCTTCTGGCCATGGCTCTCCAATTTATTTTGTCCTCTTGGCTTGTTACTTATTAGAGAAAGGATATAACTGGGCTATGCAGTTGCTATCTAGTTGGGCAGTGCTCTTATGAGTCACCTCTTAGGCCTCTGTGACAGTCTTTGGGTTGGATGCTTATCCCTGGTCAAAGTTACTTGAAATCAGAATTTTGGTGTCATCTAAATCATAGTGATCATACTGAAAGAACTGTTGTCACTTTCCTTATAAGGAGCCTTGTCAGATACTTAGGGCATTTATATTATTCACCCATTAATAGGCTCCTGGGAGCTTTCAGACTAAAGGGGAAGTAGAAAGTGCTGCACATGCATTGGGTGTATTTTTGGTCTTCAGAAGGAGTTATCCAAAACAAAATATCTTTAGTTGTCCTGGCCGTATAGCCCTTTGTAGAAGTAGTGCTTTAGAAACTAGTAGCAACTCAGGTATATTATATTTCTGTTTTCCATTTCTTTGTTTAAATGAGAAAGAAAGGATCAGAATGTATAGCTGGACATGAATGCATGTAGCTGGACCATTAAATAAAATATAGAAAGGAAAAAATGGATTGTTTTGGCCAGCAGCCTACTAATGTACAGGGAATTGGAAGGCAGCTCAGAGTAGCAAGTCTCTATTCACATTTTCTTTCCAGCAGAGTTATGAACATAACCAGAGATCTCAGTAAGAGTTTTCTCTAGTAAGACCTTTTTTGGGGTTGCCACATTTCTTAGAGGCCAAGTAGCTGAAGGATGATATTTTTTTTAGGTGTTGATATGCCTACTTGATCATCTCTCTAAAATTAGTTGAGAAATTTTGAAACCAGGCAAGTAGTGTATCTTGATTTCATTACTTCATGGAATCACAGTACTGTTATCTTTTTCATTTCCACAAAGACTGATGCAAACTTATTCATGGACTGGAAACACTAGGTTAGATGAAAATACTGTGATGTGGACTCTGAGCTGGTTGAGAACTCTCTAGGGTGGTGATGATTAACCCTCTCTAGGGTCATCCTGAAGGGGTGGGGTAATCCAGACCAAGAGTTTGGAATGTGTGATGTAACACCAACAGCACTTTTGCTGGCCTTGAAGCCTAGAGGAAAGGGGAGAGGCTGGGAGGCGTGGCAAGAGAAGGCCCCTACAGATATGATGAAGATTGAGATTCTAAGTAAGAAGGGAATGATTAGAGAAAGGTTTAGAGCTTCTTGAGGGCTTTTTACTGGGACTAAGAAGGAGAGTGCATTTGTAGAACTCATTTCTTGGTTCCTTTCGGAGAAGTTCAGGCTGAAAGGAAAGTAGTCAACTTGCTAAGAGACTTTGTTTTGAAATATATTTTCCATCCCCTATGGTTAGGGACTGTAGCTTACATAGAAGGTTAAATCCTGATCTCAGTCCAAGGGTTTTTCTGAAGTATAGAGATGCCCTGTTTCTGATTTGATTTTTCTTTTTCCTTTCAGGCTGCCTGATAGGGGCTGTGAATCTCAAATCCAGCAACCGAAACCCAGTAGTGCAGGAATTTGAAAGTAAGTACATAGAGACACTCTGAGGAGAATGGGTACCCTCTAGTGGACACTTGGTAGTCTTGCAGTCAACTTCGGGACACATCTATATTGCGCAGGGCAGCTACTTAGTGTGCCTGTGGAGAGAAAGCAGCACATTAGCAGGCCTGCAGTACATGCTGTGCAGGTTTTACATTGGATAACATTCCTTTCTTGCCTGCTTTGTGCTCACTCAACAAAGAAGTTTCTTATATAAATCAGGGTTAGGGAAGCTGTACTCTCTAAGATCCTTACTAATGTCTTAATTGTTTTTCTGGCAAAATCTCATCTTTTTGCAAAGTCTTTTGGAACTTTGAAGGTATTGGCTGGGTTTATAATCTGCATAAAAGGGCTTTTAAACTAGAGATGGCTTACAGGGTCTGGTTATACTTGTGATCTCAGAAGTGTTCCACATTCACTGAGTGTTCATTTTTTTTTTCCTTTGCTTATTAGGTGTAGAATTGTCTTGTATCATTACGGATTCACAGACAAATGACCCTAGGATTGAATGGAAGAAAATCCAAGATGACCAAACCACATACGTGTTTTTTGACAACAAAATTCAAGGTATGATCTTGGAGTACTTTTGCCTGTTAACCTCTCCTTTGTCCACAGGCCTGGGCATGCACTTATGGCCAGCAGGATTGATAACCTGAATGTGTAGCCAGGACTGTTTTCATTTTTAAAATTTATTATGGAAAATTTCAAACATGCCAAAGTATTGAGAACAGTGTACAAACCTCCCTGCATCTGCCACTCAGCTTTAACAAATATCAATTCATTAGTTAAGACTTTATGCACAACACATCTTTTTGAGGAATTACAGTGAAAGTTTTCTCTCCTCTGCTGTCTTCTTGTCATGACCTGTGACAGGAGTGATATAAGGAGTGTATCGGACTCAGGTGTTTGTGGAGCTACCCATCATGTCCCAGGCTTGGTGCTAGGGCAGAGACAGCACTGGGCAAGCACAGGGTGTCATGGTATGACACAATGTGGGAGGAGCATGGTGGTCAAGGAGGTGGCACCTGGGCAGTGTGGGTTGGGGGAGAGTGGGCAATTAACCAGGCAAGGGGAAGTATAAACAAATCAGGGCAGGAAAGAATGCTTCTATGTGAAGACATAGAAGCAGAGAGCTTGACTGACAGGAGTACAGTTTTCTACCACAGCTGGGGCTTGGGCAGGGAGAGGAGGAGGAGATGAGGAGATGAAGCCGGTACACTGATTGCCAGGTTAGCCCACCAGAGACTCTGAGGGGAAGTTCAGTGGTCATATTTATGCTTTAGAAGATTGAAGTTTTGCAAGGAAGAGGTTGGGGATAGGAAAACTTGGAACAGAGTGCAAGTGTCATGTCAAAATTATAGTACCTGGAGGAAGCTAATGGTGGCCTGAACTGAAGCTAATGGTATCTGCAGTAGAGATTCAAGAGAGGAACCACTAGGACATCGCTGTGGGAGTTTGCCAGAAGGCCGGGGAGCAGCGGCATGGAGTAGAAGGACATCACCTTTTTTTTTCTGACAGAGAAGGAATTATCAGAAGGTCAGTACAGGTAGAGTCAGATTTTCAGAGAAGCTGAGTGTTGAGAAAGATTTATGGAAATAAACTATGGTCATTTTGGTTTGTGTTCTAAATATCATCAGAAGTCATAGGCTCTTAAAAATAGTATTGTTTTGCTCACTCACGTGGGACTTTCCCTCACCCCCCTATATTTAAAGAGATTGGAATATTACTCTGGGGGTAGGGAGCTGTTTTCTTTGGCACTTAAGCTGCCCCTGCTGAACTGTACATACAATTTAGATCATCAGAGAAACCAAGTGAGAAACTCTTTAAAGGATTTTCTCTTCTGGGAATTAAACATCTTACTTTTAGCCCTAGGGATGGGGAATGCAAAGAAGAGAATTCACCAAGCAGGACACGAGGGCTAGAGGAAGACTTGAGTCTACTTTATCTCTTCTTGTATCTTGAGGCAGGACAGTATCAAAACCACTCTGCTACGTCTCACCCTTTGATAGTGAACAGTTCGGTGGTTTGCTAGTATATTCACATAGTTATGCAGCCATCATCCCTATCAAATTCCAGAATATCTTCATCATCCCTGAAAGAAATCCCATCACTATAGCAGCCAGCCCCCAACTCCATCTCCCAGCAAAGCCCTTCGTCAGCTTTCTGTCTCATATCAATGTAATCTTACCTTATGTCTAGCTTCTTTCATTTAGTGTATTTCCATGATTCACTCGTAGTGTAGCATGTGTTAGTGCCACATTCCTTTTTATGGCTGAATCATTCCATTGTAGGTTTACCACATTATTTTATCCATTAATCAGTTGATGTACTTTTTGAGTATTACCAGTAATACTGTTATGCACATTCAAATGCAGATTTTTGATTTCTGAGGTTTTCATTTCTGAGGGATGAATGACAAGTACAATCATAGGGTCATATGGCAGTTGGATGTTTAATAATTTTTAGAAACTGACAAATTGTTTTTCAAAGCTGCTTTATCATTTGAAATTCCCATCAGCAATGTGCTTCCCATATCTTTACCAACACTTGTTATTATCTGCTTGTTTGTTCCTAGAAGTCTTAGAGGGTATGAAGTGCCTTGTGGTTGTGATCTCCATTTTCTTGATGATAAATTAATCTTTCCATGTGCCATTTGTATATTCTCTTTGGAGAAATGTCTATTCATAACTCATGTTCATTTTTAATTTGGTTATTTGTCTATTTGTTGTTTAGTTGCAAATTGTGTGATACTGGTCCTTTGTGAGATACATGATTTGCAGATAACTCTTTTCTGTTGTGTGGATTATCTTTTCACCTGTTTGTGTCCTTTGAAACATAAATTTTTAACTTTAATGTAAAGTCCAGAATAACCATTTTTAACTTTTGTGATTTCAAGTTATGCAAGCCCAGAATCACTGAACCATATCCCCAGCCCTCTTTTTTTTTTTTTTTTTTTTTTTTTTTAAAAAGGCAGGTTCTCCTGAATTGCTAAGGCTGGCCTCAAACTTGTGATCCTCTTGCCTTAGCCTCCTGAGTGATGGGATTAGAAGTGTGTGACATTGCACCCGCTAGTATAACTATTTTTTTTTTTTAATGTGCTTGTGTTTTTGATGTCATGCTGAAGAGGAAAATATACCTTATAGCTTTGGTCTTTGTAAGAGTGTTACTTATTACTGGTCTTTTTAAGATTGTTGTTTAAACCCTTGTTTAAATTGTAATATTTCTGTGCTAGGTTTGAAGCTCTTAAGAGTGTAAGCTTGCAATTATCTTGACAAACTGCTGCCTGAGATAAAAGCCACTTTCCTATATTACTTGCAGATGTCTTCTGCTTTGATAAACTGCTTATTGCAAGAATTCCAAGTTATGGTCTTGGTCACATGGGCCAAAAGTTCAAACCTACCAATGTTGTATTGGTTAAGAAATGATGTGAAATTTCCTATAAAATCCCTGTGTACCCTCAGCTTGGGTCCCAGAATTTCAGAGCACTAGCTCATCTAGGTCTGCCAATGAAAATAAACTTGAGTTCTCCAACTCTCTGAGTGATGCTTGGTCTTTTGTTGAATGCGATTTCCACAACAATGTCTAAGAAACCATTGCTAAATCTAAGATCATGAAGATTTATGCCTTCTTTTTCTTCCCCAAGAGCTTTAAAGTATTAACTCTAATGTTAGATCTTTGTTGTAAGTGAGGTTGAGGTTCGGCTTCTTTCTTTTCCTTGTGGATATCCAGCTACCCCAGCATCATTTGGGTAAAGTCATTGTTTTTTGTTTTTTTGTTTTAATCTTTTATTGATTTTATTTTTTTAAATACACGACAGCAGTGGAATGCATTACAATTCTTATTACATATATATACCACAACTTTTCATATCTCTGTTTATATATGAAGTATGTTGACACCCAATTTAAGTCTTCATACATGTACTTTGTATAATGATGTCCATCACATTCCACCATCTTTGCTAATCCCCTGCCCACTCCCTTTCCCTCCCACTCCTTTTCTCTATCTAGAATTCATCTAATCCTCCCATGCTCTCCCTCCCTACCCTACTGTGAGTCAATCTTTATATCAGAGAAAATGTTGGGCATTTTTTTTTTGATTGGCTAACTTCACTTAGTATTATCTTCTCCAACGCCATCCATTTACCTGCAAATGCCATGATTTTGTTCTTTTTAAATGCTGAATAAAATTCCATTGTGTATATATGCCACATTTTTTAATCCATTCATCCACTTGAGGACATCTAGGTTGGCTCTACAGTTTAGCTATTGTGAATTGTGCTGCTATAAACATTGATGTGGCTGTGTCCCTGTAGTATGCTGTTTTTAAGTATAGTCCAAAGAGAGGAATAGCTGGGTCAAATGGTGGTTCCATTCCCAGATTTCCAAGGAATCCCCATACTGCTTTCCAAATTGGTTGCACCAATTTGCAGTCCCACCAGCAATATATGAATGTACCTTTCTCCCCACATTCTCACCAACACTTGTTGTTTGTCTTCATAATAGCTGCCATTCTGACTGGAGTGAGATGATATATTAGAGTAGTCTTGATTTGCATTTCTGTGATTGCTAGAGAAGATGAGCATTTTTTCACGTATGTGTTGATTGATTGTATATCCTCTTCTGAGAAGTGTCTGTTCAGGTCACTGTTGTTTCAGTGTTTAGCTCTTTGATTTCTTTATATACCCTAGATATTAGTGCTGTATTTGATGTGTGAGAGGTAAAAATTTGCTCCCTGGATGTAGGCTCCCTATTCACCTCACAGATTGTTTCTTTTGCCGAGAAGAAACTTTTTAGTTTGATTCCATCCCATTTATTGATTCTTGGTTTTAATTCTTGTGCTATGGGAGTCTTATTAAGGAAGTTAGGGCCTAATCCCGCCTGATGAAGATTAGGGCCTATTTTTTTTCTATTAGACGCAGAGTCTCTGGTTTAATTCCTAGGTCCTTGATCCACTTTGAGTTGAGTTCTGTGCATGGTGAGAGATACGATTTAATTTCATTTTGTTGCATATGGATTTCTAGTTTTCCCAGCACCATGTGTTGAAGATGCTATCTTTTCTCCAGTGCATGTTTTTGGCACCTTTGTCTAATATAAGATAATTGTAATTTTGTGGGTTAGTCTCGTGCCCTCTATTTTGTACCATTGGTCTACCAGCCTATTTTGGTGCCAATACTATGCTGTTTTTGTTACTATTGTTCTGTAGTATAGTTTAAGGTCTGGTATAGTGATATCACCTGGTTCACTCATCCTGTTTAGGATTGCTTTAGCTATTCTGGGTCTCTTTATTTTTCCAGATGAATTTCATGATTGCTTTTTCTATTTCTATGAGGAATGCCATTGGGATTTTTATTGGAATTGCATTAAATCTGTATTATGCTTTTGGTAGTATGGTCATTTTGATAATATTAATTCAGCCTATCCAAGAGCAAGGTAGATCTTTCCATCTTCTAAAGTCTTCTTTGATTTCTCTCTTTGGGGTTCTGTAGTTTTCATTGTATGGATCTTTCACCTCTTTTGTTAAGTTGATTCCCAAGTATTTTTTTTTTTTTTTTTGAGGATATTGTGAATGGGTTAGTTTTCCTCATTTCCTTCTCAGAGGATTTGTCATTGATATACAGAAATACCTTTGATTCATGGGTGTTGATTTTATATCCTGCTACTTTGCTGAATCTTTAAATCTGAAGCTTAATTTTGCTGGATACAAGATTCTTGGTTGGCACCCATTATCTTTCAGAACTTGAAATATGTTATTCCAGGATCTTCTAGCTTTCAGGGTCTATATGTAATCTGATTCCTTTCTCTGTGGCTTTTAAAATTCTCTCCTTGTACTGTATGCTGGGCATTTTCATTATAATGGGTCTTGGTGTGGATCTGTTGTGATTTTGCACATTTGGCGTCCTGTAGGCTTCTTGGATTTGGATTTCCGTTTCATTCTTCATGTCTGGAAAGTTTTCTGATATTATTTCATTGAACAGATAGCTCATTCCTTTGGTTTGGACCTCTATGCCTTCCTCTATCCCAGTAACTCTTAAATTTGGTCATTTTATGCTATCCCGTATTTTTTGGATGTTCTGCTCATGGTTTCTTACAATTTTTGCTGCTGTCTACATTGTTTTCAAGATGATATATTTTATCTTCATTGTCTGATGTCCTGTCTTCCAAGTGGTCTACTTTTTTGGTGATGCACTTGTTTGAGTTTTTAATTTGGTTTATTATTTATTTCATTTCAAGGATTTCTGTTTGGTTTTTTGGTATAACCTCTATCTCCAGCTGTTGAGGTGATCTTTTGCTTCTTGGATTTGTTAATGTAGCTCATTGTCAAAGTGATCTTTCACTGCCTGTGTTTGTTCTGTAATGTCTTCTTTGAGATCCCAAAACATTTTAATCATGCATATCCTGAAATCTTTCTCTATAATTTTTTTTCTGCTGTAGCTGTCAATTCTTTTAATGATGTGTTGTCTTGAATTGTTTGTGGTACTTTCTTCCATTGTCTTTTCATGTTGCTCAAGTTTCTTTCCAGCTCTGTGGGACTGCTGTGTTATTGTTTTTATCCTATAGATTTGTAGTGCTCTTGCATGGTTTCAAGATCCCTCCTTTGTGGGGAAGGACAATGTTAACAGATCCCAATATCAACAATACATCACCTGTTCAGATGAAGATCCGAGCTGATAGCCATGCCCACCAAAAAATGTCAAGAAAGGTTTTCCAAGATGGAGTTGGTCTTCTTCCAGTGCCAGGGTGTCTGATGAGGTAGGGAGAGCTGGGATGTCCTTGTGCTATGCCTAGAACACAGTCAAGTGACCTGTGTGGGAGCGGAACGCAGTCTGGAGTTCTGCAGAGGTGCTGATTTGGTGATTCTGCTACGCTGTTTGAGAGCCGTGTGTGTTAGTACTGCGGGCTTTGGGTCTGGAGTCCAGAATCTTACTGGAACACGGAGGCTCTGATTTCTGTGCAGGTGGTCGCAGTGCTGGTGATTTCTGTGAAAATCCGCTGTATAGGAGTCCTGTCGCATGCTCTGAGGTGTTGTATTCTGTCTAGGTGAGACCTTGTGGAGAAGCTGCCTCACTGCTTTCTTGGATTCATATCACAGAGCAGCCAGAAACAGTACCTCCTCTCTTCCACCATCTTGGATCAAAAATGCTTTTTTTTTAATGTTACTTTTTCTTTCAATGGGGAATCCCTCTTGGGAATGATGAAAAGGAAATGAGGTTCCTGGCTTTAAGGACAGAGACACATGCAATGAATGTCTCTTAATCAGCTGCTGTTTGTTGCTCTTAGGTTACAAAGAGGAGTCAGTCCTGGTTATTGTCCTCATGTAAGATTGCTACTCAGCCTTGAGTGGGTGAGCAGGGAAAAGGCAATAAAAGGTGATTGAAAGCCACAGGGACCCTTATCTGACAGATAAGCACCCAGAAGGTGGGGGCTCTGTATGTTAAAAGCTCCCCCCAGCTTTAATTAAGAGAAATCACCCTTTTAGACCATATTGTCTCTAGGACCCTCCCTTATCACTAAAACCAGGTAATAACCTCACCCACCCTGGTGGCCAAAAATTCAGGATTCTCAAAAACTTGATGGGGGCTATTCAAAGGATAGTGAACCCATTACAAGATCAGGAAATGTAAACAAAAATGAGGGGGCTCAGTTTCCTTAAAAACTGCAACCCTGAGCACCACACCTTTCAGTTGGAGATGGTGGTTCATGCAATTCCTTTGCTGTCAGTCAAAAGTCAGGAGGTGGAGTTGGGTAGGACTCTGGAAACTTACCTGGAATTCCAATAAAAATGGATGGCAGAATGGGTATGCTATTCCTCTCTGTGAGAGGACCCTCTCCCCCTTGAGTGTGTGCCCCTTTTCCTCTTTTGTCTTATAATAAACTCATGCCTGTTACTCTTAGTAATATGTTTCAAATCCTTCTGACCTGACCCAAGAATCAGTGTTCGAAAGGGGTGGGGGGTTTCCGTGCTACCTCAACTTAATGGAAGGTCTCTGCCCTGTGACAATCACAGGATTCACTTCTGTTATATGGGAATAGAAACAAACCTGTCTGCAGCCTGGCATCAATTCCTGGCCTTAGTGACCACCTTACAGTAACAGAAATAAGATAGACCTGTTTTTTAAAAATATATAGGGGACCTGGCAGGTCGTGCAGAACTGTTGGGGAAAACTTCCCTGAAGATCTGGAATGTGACACGGACAGACTCAGCCCTCTATCGCTGTGAGGTTGTTGCTCGGAATGACCGCAAAGAAATTGATGAAATTGCCATTGAATTAATTGTGCAAGGTAAGAGTTCATGTGAAGGTAAAGTGTTCATCTTCAGGGCTCATGAGTGTGTAGCTATAAAGTAAGTCATCAGTTCCTATTTCCATTTCCTGAGGATATCACATGACTTGGGGGAGGAGAGCTTGGGAGTCTGAGACTGCCTAAGTTGAGGGGAAAGGTAAGAAGGAAGTGGAGCTGCCCCCATTCTCATCATCTGTGGGAAATGCTTTAGCATACTTTATCTCCTCCACAGCATCCTCTTGAAGATGGAAGGAATTAAAAATGCATGTGTGATTGGACTTGGGGTGGCATGAACTCTGAGGGTAGGATAGTCTCCAGATGTGATGACTGGGATTGCAGTGGTGCAGGAGCTTCTTGGCTGGCTTCCTTGTATTTGGAGCTGATTTAGGAAAATGTTGGATGTTGCCATGTTGCTGAGATCTTAAATACCAACCCATGCTTTTCCTGCAGTGAAGCCAGTAACCCCTATCTGCAGAGTGCCAAAGGCTGTCCCTGTAGGCAAGGCAGCAACGCTGCAGTGCCAGGAGAGCGAGGGCTATCCCCGGCCTTACTACAACTGGTATCGCAATGATGTGCCGCTGCCAACGGATTCCAGAGCCAATCCCAGATTTCGAAATTCCTCTTTTCTCTTAAACTCTGAGACAGGCACTCTGGTAAGAATCTTCTAAGAGGTGAGGATGGAGATATCTTTGTTGGGGGCAATGGATTCTTTTTGTGGAAAGAATAGTTATTAGGAGAGACAGTAAAACTATTTTGTATGACAGGAACTAAGAATCCAGGATTATTGAGATTCTACAAGAAAAATAACCCTTCGTTTATAAACAAGTCCTAAGAGGGTAAAATAAGGAAGGGAAACCTGTAGATATAAAACGGACCAAGGAAGTGATATTAGCCAAGTGTTATAGGTGGACATTATTTGAGTCCTGATTTGGACTGTACAAATCATTAGGAGATAATCAGGAACATTTGATTACTGACTGGATATTTGATGATAATAAGCAATTGCTGATTGCTTTAGGCACGATAATGGCATTGTTATTATGGTTTTAGAAGTCTTTATTTTCTAGAGACGCATATTGAAATATTTATGGATAAAACATGTCTGGAATTTGATTCAAAATAACCCAGTGCTGGTGGTGGTGGGAAGTATATGAGGGAAGGAAACAAGATTGGTTATCAGCAAGTCACCCCAGACTTTGACAGCAAGATGGGGTTGGTCTGTATAATACTCAACCATACATGGTAAATAGGTGGGTCTTAATAGGATCCTTAGTATTTGTTTTGACAAAGTGTTGCCTAAGGAGCAGTCCTGGTCAGAGTCCCTTCACCAAATAACAGCAAAGCACACACAGCTTCATGTTTTAGATGTTGCTGGCTTTGGCACCTCTGGATACTAAGGGGAGCTCATTGTTGGGGAACTCTTAGGCCAGAGTGTTAGGAAAGCAGGTGAGGGAAGAAGCCAGACAATGCCTGGGATGCCACAGGAAAACTAGAAGCAAATTAGCAGATTCTGACTACATTCTGGACTCAGTAGGACCTTGGCAGCTTTACCTTCCTCACTCCTATCCCTTAGAGGGCTGCCCTTATGATTGGTCTCAGTATTTACCTTCATTTCTTGAAACAGGTTTTCAACGCTGTTCATAAGGAGGACTCTGGGCAGTATTATTGCATTGCTTCCAATGATGCAGGCTCAGCCAAGTGTGAGGAACAAGAGATGGAAGTCTGTGAGTTACTTTTTGGAAAGATTTTATTCAAAGACTGGGAAGTGAATAGAATATTTAAAATTGAATATTAGATGGTCAGTTTAGACAATGTTCTGCCATAGGTCGCCTTTCTTTTGGAGCTGACGGGATTCACCAAGATCCCTGGGGGAAGTTTAAGGAAGGAAGAGAAAATGCTATATCTAGATAAGTAGGTCTCTAAAAGAGACCTTCTGAGGTCTCTTGGTGCTGGAAACATGACCAGTCATGTAACTTTCACAGAGTGTAATTAATGCCCTTTCTCTGGTAATTGATAGAATCATCAAAATACAAGGTGGTATAAGGCTTTTGGAAAATTTTCCAGTTACAAATTTTTTTCAGGAAACTGATTGACACTGTTTTTTTTTTGTCCAACTAATTTTACCCTGCTCTGTGATAATGCCCTCTCTAGGGTACTGGTTATAAGGGGAGGTTGTTGGAAGGAAGAGGGAGTAGATGGGGTATGTCTGAACCACTTGGGGAATTTTATGACCTTTTCCCTCTTTTCTGTTTGCAACAGTTGCAGAGTAGGGTTTCAAAAATTGCTTGATGATAAGAACCATTTGGACCACTGTTTAACAGAAAGATAGAAGAGCCTTCCCTAGTTATATGCCAGAAATTTGTGTGTATAATAAACAAGCATTCCAGTGATTCTTGTCTATCAAATTTGGGAAACTGCTCTAGGGCTATTTTCTCCTGAGTAAGAATCCTGAGTTGATAGTTTCCTGCACATTTTTACATGCACTGTTATTTGCATAAAGGAAGCAGCCACTGTTGTTCTCAAATTACAGGTGACCAAAGTGCCTTTGCCCAGTGTAGAAATGAGAAAAAGGAATGCAGGGGTTATTTTCTAAGGGGGCTTAAAAATAGGAGGCCTGCTAATGGAGTGAAAGGGCAAGTTTTCATTTAGTACTTTTTTTCTTTTAAGGCTTCAAATTAATTTTCTTCCCTTAAAATAGTCCACAACAAATAAGGGTTCTGGAAATTAGGATTTTTTCCCCTTTCCTTACATTCCCTGGCTCCTAATTCTAGACTTAATATAACCATTTCTTGCATTAATAGTATTCTCAGGCATTTAGCCAGAGGATTTTAAAAGATGAGCCCCACTTAATTCAGTCTTCATTGTGACTGCATTTGAACCATTACAGTCTCAGTACTTTATACATGGTATCAGGGGTTGTGGTGTCCTGTGTGTTCTAGTCTAGAAAGATTTTAAATGTTCTCAATATACTCTCCTGGCTAGGGTAGACATGAGAGGGCAGAAGGGTAAGTGAAGCAGTGAGGCACAGGTAGGTCAAGGTTTTTTAAGAACAGATAGTGTGTATCATCCCTCCATACAAACCTCCTTTTCTACAGATGACCTGAACATTGCTGGAATTATTGGGGGTGTTCTGGTTGTTCTTGCTGTCTTAGCCCTGATAACGTTGGGCATCTGTTGTGCATATAGACGCGGCTACTTCATCAACAATAAACAAGATGGAGAAAGGTGAGCCTGCCTTACATGAGAAAAGCAAAGTGCAGCCTGGCATTAATATGATAAACACACCACTGAACTGCCCTCTTCTGTTCACAGTTACAAGAGCCCAGGGAAGCCTGATGGAGTTAACTATATCAGGACAGATGAGGAGGTAAGGAGGAAAGAGATTAGGTAGCTTTTAGAAAAGCTGGGGGTGGGGTGGGGAGATTTATACATTGTATCAGGGGTTGTGGTGTCCTGTGTGTTCTAGACTAGAAAGATTTTAAATGTTCTCAGTTTACCCAGTGGGAAGATGGCATTCTAGCTTGGAAATGGAGGGGCCCATGGGAATATTTCTGAGTTATATTGCAAACCCTAAGCTCCTCAACTCTGCACAGGTAACCTGTGCACAGCAGTGGCACTGACACTTTGCAGGCTCTAGTGGATGTCACTGTTTAAACGTGATCATTTCTTTTATTTTGTTTTGCCCTTGGTTTCCTCTTTGGAGACTTGTTTAGCCCCTGTGTGATTTAACCAGTTCTCTTATTTACAACCTCATGACAACTCTGGATTGCTTCTAATTTTACACTGGTTTTGCAGGGTGACTTCAGACACAAGTCATCGTTTGTGATCTGAGACCTGGCGGTGTGGCTGAGAGCATATGCAGATACCTCTACTAGAAAGAAACTCCTGTCAAGGGCAGTCATGAGCCAAGTGCACTTGGACAGAGCTAGACACTCATGCACAAGCTTTTTGTTTTGGCCAAAGTTGACCACTACTCCTTTCTTACTCTTTTAACAAGCCACACAAATAAAGGAATCTTCCACAAGATGGGCACAGTAACCACAAGGAAAAGGAACTGTGAGTTCACGAGTTGGGTCTCCAACCTATTGCTGACCCAATTTTCACATGGGTATTAGGGTGATCTGAAAGGTCTTGCCCATATCTGTTCTCCTGGGCTGGGCACCACAGATCTGATTTTGCCACTGCTTGTTCATTAGCCATAAGCACTGGCCACAAGAGGATGAGGTGACTGTGATAGCAACAATGTGAGCATGGCACAAGGTCTTCAGTTGCCATTTCCAGTAATAACTTCAGAAAAGGATTTGCATGCAGTGCCTCATTCCATGGGCCCACAGGTCTCTTCTTAAGGCTCTGGTGATCAGTGTTGTTGTGTCCATCTTGGAGAATCTTTTTGGATCAGCATTTTATAAAAACAACCAAAATCAGGAAGGTAAATGGCTTGCTGGAAGAGGGTTCTTCTTACCCAAAGAACCCTGCTAGTCCATGAAGGTATAAGGATTTAAGGAAAACTTCATCTTTGGCTAAAGTCTGAAATGGTACTGAAAGATTCTTTTCAGTGGGTCTTGCTTATTTTATAAAATTTTACATTCTAAATTTTTCTAAAGATGTATTTTGATTATTGAAAAGAAAATTTCTATTTAAACTGTAAATATATTGTCATACAGTGTTTTAAAAACTATTTTTTTTAAGAGTTTCACTTAAGATAGAAGTTCTAAGCTACTAGTATTAAATTGGAAAGTACCAATAGTTGAGAGTATTTTACCCAATGAATCCTCTCAAGGAGACTTACTAGAACATTCCTTTGTTCATGTGCTTTAGCATTTTTCATTAGAAAACTTATGCCATGTGTACATCAGACCATTGTTACTTAGGAAACTTTTAGAAAATTCCAGTCTAGCCCTGTTGACATCTGCTTGCATCTCTCCAAAAGAAACTTAGGGAGCTCTCAGGTTAGCTCTGAACTGCCTTTTCCTGAGATCACAACTGCCTGTGCCTGGAGACTGCCAAAGAAGCCCTTAGATATCTGTAGTGACCACAATGATATATTTTTGGAGTTAAGTCAGATAACACTGACTTGTAGGTGCTGGTGAGAAGGCCCACTGTGTCTTCACAGTCCTTACCACAGCTGTGTCCCTATTAGCTTCAGTAGTGTTGTGTATTTGCTGTATAGCTCTTAGAAGTTCTAATGTGGCCACTTAGGAAACTTGGTGTCTTCTGTGTGGCATCCCAGCCTTAAGGTTCCTGAGACAGACCTTCTTTTGGTTGTAGCTGGCTCACAAATCAGTGGGTCTTGCTATTTGGTTTTTAAGTTAATTTTAATTGTGTAGTTCATAAGACTGTCTAGGCCAAAGGCCATTTTGAAACCAGATCTGTCAACTTAAGTAATATTTTTAAAAGAAAATGAATCCAGCTGTTTCTCTTTGCTATGAAGAAAGCACCCTGACACCATAGGTTCTCTCTCTCCTTCATAATAAACCATTATGTGGTGGCAGCCAGTCCAGCCTTTTGAAGACTATGAGGAAGTGCAGCCAGGTCAAAACACGATGGTGAGGAAAGTAAAATGCCTGCCTGAATCAAAAGCAGTTTTCTAATTTTAACTCTTTTATCTACCTGAGACACTGTTCACTTTGTGGGAGACATTAGAAACTTGGCCTAAAAGCCTTTGTTCTTCAAGAGTAGATTTTTCAGCTTCAAATACAGTGCTGTGTTGGACTCATGATGTGAAGTGGGTTGAATCAAGGAGCTTCTCAGAGGTGCGCCTAATTCCATGTGTGCCTGGAGGGTGGCTTTTTTGTAGAATGTAGTCACCTTGTAATTCAGATTTCAGTGTCTTAATTTTTTAATACTTTTGGTTTTTTTAATTGAATACTTGAGACATGTTGACTTTGATTTAAAGTTATATGAAATATTGTGCTGTGGGATATTTGGCAGGAACAGCAGGCAACTCTCCCACACTTTGTCAGTGGTACCAGTCTTGCATTTGCATCTTGAATGCTTAGAGTTGAGACTTGTTCTTTCATGTCTGCCACCTCCTGGAAGGAAGGGGGTCACTCCCCCAGTCTCTAACTGTTGAGGAATAACATGCTAGCCTTTTTGGCTGTAATAGTGATAGGGTGTCCTTATTACCTCCCTTCTTACACCCTAGAGCCTTCTGCCCTAGTGCCATGGAAGTGGTTCTGACGCGTGGAACTTGGGAAACTGTTAACTGTAACTGTAAAACTGCATACAGAGAAGGAGCACCCATGTTTCTTTAAGATTTGAATGTGACTAAAGAAGCCTGAACAAGGATGTTCTCTGGCCTGACATGGATGTTGCTGTACATAGTTGTTACAGACTTGTACTAACACACCTATAATGTGGTATTTGTTTAAACCTCATTTATAAAAGCTTTAAAAAAAAAATCTCTTCATTCTTTCTTGATTGTGATTATGTTAACGTTCATGTGTTCTCCTAGCATTTTATTAGGCAGGTACACTGAAAAGGTACACTGTCTGCGGGGAAGTCAGTACCTGAACTTGGAACCAAGTGTGTGTTTACTCACAAGCAGCTTTTTGAGTCACTCAACCAGTGATGAAACTATCTTTGTCACAGATCATTTATGGCAGAGCTGTGGATGGAGCACAGTAACTTTCCATCTTCCAAATCTAACTAATACACATGCTGAAAACACAAATACTGCTGGGCGTGGTAGCACACAACTGTAATCCCAGAGGCTTGGGAGCCCGAGGCAGGAGGATCTCAAATCAAGTTCAAGACCAGTCTCACCAACTTCAGTGAGACCATTTCAAAAAAAAAAAAAAAAAAAGGGGCTGGGATGTAGCTTTATGGTTAAGTGCCCCTGGATCCAATCCCTGGTACCAAACAACAAGAACAAAACCCCTACAATAGTAACTTTGGGGGTGGGGATGTTACATGGTGGTAGAGCACTTGCCTAGCATGTGTTAGGTCCTAGATTGATCCCCAGCACTTAGAAAAAAATTCAGCATGAGTTATTAAAAAGACAAAACAAAATACCAATATGTTTACACTTTTGCCTTTATAATAATGGAATCAGAAAATGGAACCAGTCAGGCATGTTGACCAGCTGCTGAGGCAGGAGGATGGCTTGAGGATGGCTCAGGAGTTGGGTGGGGGTTGGGGTAGAGGTGGAGCCTGGGCAACAAAATGAGACCTTGTCTCTCTCACCCACACACCAAAAAAAAAGAAAAAAAGCCAACTGAATTTCATCCTAGGCATTCTTGAACAAACATTATTTTAAGTTCGCCTGCTAGTGCCAATAAAAACTCAAGTTACACCCCCATTGTAAAGCAATCCTTAACAGAATTTCATACAAATCGGCCTCAGTGCTATTTCACGTAAGCAACATCAAGCTGTGTTTTAAAAAGTAAAACTCGTGCTAATAAGGCTGTTATTAGAAGGCAGACAGCTTCCATATGGGAACAAAGGCAGGTGGCAGATGAACCAAACCTTAAGGAAAAACATAATCATCTTTTTCTTAACAGGAAAGACTTCGTTTCATTCTTAAATACTTTATGTAAACTTAATACAACTACCTATGAAAGCCCTGTTTCTAAAAAATCAAAAAATTCTACTGAATACTAGAAGACTGTATTTTTTATGCTTGACCTTTATTATAATTCATTTTAGAAAGCTGTACATTTTTTAAAATCTGCAATTATAAATAATAGAAAAAATATAACAATTGAAATTTTGACATTAGACATGGGAAAATATTTACTATAAGGAATTTAAACAAGCTAACAGCAGCTTGATTCATATAAAAAACTGAAATTTTCCAAGTTGTGTTCATTAAAGACCAGATTATAGCTTATCAGAATGGACTTAAATTCAGATGGATAAAATTATGATATTAAATAGCTTAACTTTAGGATAAGAAAATCTAAACCTGGCATTTCTCTTATTTCACAATTTTTTTAAAAAATATTTTTTTAATTGTAGATGGACACAATACCTTTATTTTATTTTTATGTGGTGCCAGGGATCGAACCCAGTGCCTCACGCATGCTACGCAAGCGTTCTACCACTGAGCCAGAACCCCAGCCCTATTTCACAATTTTTTAACCACATATATTATGAAGAAAAATAACACAAGGTTGGTCAGCCAAACACAGGTGAACAAATACAGCACTGGGACAGATCCTAAGGAAAAGCTTTGGTATTACACAATGAAACATTGCCTGAGGCATACAGCAAATGATTCCTCTGCCTTTCCATGCTCAGGATTCAAGAATGTTCCCTTGGGCTCTTGTCTTCCTGGACAGGCACTGGAACACACTATTTCAGTTGGCTGTTTTCAGGGGGCTCTTTCGGAGGGATCTTCGACTGGGGTTTGGGTTGTCCTTATTCCTGGCTGGAGACTTCACATTCCACTGCTGAGGCTGGGGAGGTCTAGGAGAAGAAATGAGACAGTGATTCTGAAACTAAAAGAAAAACCCTGATCAAAACAGAACTCTTTGGTAAACTTACGGTTTATCAGGCAATGATAAACATAAAATGTCATTTCCTTGACTCTGGGCTTCAGTTTTCTCTGAAAGGGAGTCAAAACAGAAATTCAGTTTTCCCAGATCTTCAAAGCCAGCTAATGTATCAGACAAGAAGGAAACTGAGAACTTGCCTCTGGCTGAAAAAGAAGTCCATGGTGTCCCTATGTAACTGACCCCTGCTCCAAATGTGACATCACTGATGGATTCTGGGGAAAAGAGAAACAGCACTGTCAAACATGGGTATGAGACACAGTCACCTGAACAAGTAAATTAACAATTTACCCCATCTAGCAGGCCTCAATCTGACCTTTCCCCAGGACTTAGCAGTGTAGAGAAACTCTTTTCTCCTGGAAGCTCTTCCTTCCTCTGACCACAGCCCTCCTCGGCTGCTCTGCAGCCTCTGTATCATCCTTGCTCCTGTCTCTTGCTTCTCACTCAACCTTCATCTTTAAGGACTCCTAAGTGCTAAGGACCAACAATTCCACTCAGAGCCCTTCAGGTCTGGGTTCTATACTCCCTATTGTTCCTCATCTGAGTTCCCTGAAGAGATATCTCTGGCTTTACCTCTGCTCCTGACATGCTCCTTTTGTATTTCCAGCAAATAGATAATCTGTAGAAATACCAGCCATCATTAGCTACTCTGCCACAGTGACCAGGTCCTGTGCATTCTAGTTTCCAAGTATTCCTCCAACCTTGCTAGCTGTATTCCTGCCTTGCCACGAACATTTCAATGCACCTCACCCCTCACACCTTTCCTTTCATGGTGCTGTCCAATTCTGTGACCTTACCTCCTCCAGCTGTATCCTTGGGTGGCTAGAGATCTCAGAGCCTAGGAATATTGACTGGGTTTGCACTAACTATGGCTGTATCTTACTAAGAACTATACCAGAACCTCAATTCTCTTCATCTCTAAAATGGGAGTAAAAATGTATCTATCTTATGGGATGGAGCAAGGATTAAATGAGACCAATTATGTAAGTACTTAATACAATATTTGGTACAAGGTAATTGCTGAAGAAATGTTAGCTACTAGTATAATTTATTAGCTACTATCCCCTATGTCACTGGAGTGACATTTAATTAAAGTCCTTTAATTAAATATATGGTAGTTACTAACTTTCTTAGGTATCTCAATGACTCTATTCCCAGGAGGGCCTAAATTCCATTCTTGGTTTGAGTTGGCCCGAGCTGCCTTTACAAACTTATATGCACACGCACACTCTGCGTTCTATCTGCATTTACCCCATCTGTGCATCACTGTTCTCTGAACTGTCACACTGTGTGCACACTCTAGCTCCTTGGCCTAGCCTGCCCATCCCATCTACCCACAACATCCCCACTGTGTAGACCACTTCCAGGGGGCGGAGCACATGCTCAACTGCACATCTGATGCCCTCCTTTCTGCAAACACATTTGTGGGGCAAGCTTAGAGTTCTAACCATTCTTTATACACTGTCACTTCTGAGTACAGACTGAACTGAACTAGTCAATGTTTTCTTGTTTTTGCAGTACTGGAGATAGAACCTAGGTCCTCACACATGGCAGGCAAACATTCTATCCCTGGGCTACACCCTCAGCCCCCTGGCCTTTTATTTTATTTATTTTTTTGAGACAAGAGTTTTGCTCTTAACGAGGATGGTAAGTTCAAGTTTGCCTTGAACTTACCATCCTCCTGCTTCAGCCTCCTGAATAAATGGGATAACAGGTGTACACCACCACACCCAGCCTAGTCTGGGGTCCTAAAATCTACTGCAGTGCTATGTACCTGAGTGCTACTCAGAATTCATTAATAGTGGCAGAAAATTCTATCTCCAGTGCCTCCATTAAAGTAGCTCAGCACTTTTTTCTGTTCCTGTGAATTTTCTCTTTCCAGTGTTGTCATCTGGAATTCCCCTTCCATACAGATTACTTTTCTCATTCACAAATCTCTATATTCCAGGTGATATGTTTCCCATATTTACAAAAGAATCTATGTTATGGCTCTTACATTCCCAGTACACTCTCCTTAGAATCAAAGGCAGAAGGGTCTTTGCTGCTTCCATTATTAAAGCAGTGAGAGAGACGTGCTAAAATCCCCCACAGATTTCTAGTTAAAACTCTAGCTCTGAAAATGATTCCTTTCCACTTAGCAAAACCACTGTGTGAACACCACTGGTGGGCTACAATGGTTGAGCTGGGTAGTCATTTTCCTACTGTTTTTTTTTGTGTGTGTGTGTGCTAGGGATTGAACCCAGGGCCTTATGAATGCGAGGCAAGCACTTTAGCAACTGAGCTACATCCCCAGCCCTCTTCCTACTGGTTTTGCAGAGTAGAGATCACTTCCTAACAGTCACCCAACTAAACTTTAGAGTCACCAAAAGAATTTGTATTCCCAGACCATGCTGGAATCAGCACTGAGTGCTCTTAGTCTCTGATAACATTCTCTCAAGAAGGAGAGTTAATAGGAAACCATTCTTTAAGCATTTCTCCTGTTTCACAAAAGAGATGAATAGAAGTTGCACCAATAGAAACATTACATTCTGCTGCCTGGAGAAATAGCAAGTGCTCTCCTGACCCAGTGACACCTGAGTCTTATTTTCAGTGTGGAGATGAGTCTACACATGCAAATTAAAGTGGCATTAATGTACCATGCCATGTTTCACTGCTGAGGAACAAATGCTGCTAGGAAACAAAATGAAGACTGAAATCAGGGACTCATGAGATAAGCATAACTAAAATGAGATGTATTCTTCCTGTTTCTTCAGCAATATGGCACCTAACTACCAAAATAGACACATCTGATACCCCTGAGGCAGGAAAAGAACCGAGAACATATATAAACTTTTTCTCTTTGAAAGAGGCTGGTTATTTTACATATATAACATTACACATGTGAAATATACAGGAAGCCATCATTACCCACTGACTGTCATCCAGTTGTTTGAGGAGAGATGCAAGGTGGGAATTCTGTCATCCATGAATCTCCCTTAAAAGAGGGCCCTGTGTAAAAACTAGCTATAACCCTGTAAACATTCTAAACCACAGTATCACAGGTTAATACAATCAAAAGCAAGCAGCTAGGACACAGGAGGTATGCAGTAGAAGTGAAGTGACTACAGGTGTGACAAACAGTGGCCAATCTTGTGTAGCTCTCCTACCACAGAACATCTTAGCACTATGCTCATCTCTTAATGCCAGGATCAGAGGTTGCAAAGATGGGCTGAAGAGGTGACACAGAGGTTGGAATCAGAAGCTTGAGCTCAGCCCCCAGTTCTGCCACTGAATAGATCTCTACATTACCTCCCATGTCCCAGGCTCTGTGGTCTGTCTTGTGGAGACAGGAGTAGAAAAGCTTGCAAACAATTAGCAAGATTGGAGAGAAAATGGACAGAAGTGTGATGAGCACTGCTGAGAGGATCAGAGGGCCATGAGGGGTGCCTGCTCTAGTCTGAAGGTTCCAGATGAAGACATGGCATGTGAAGCCTGTACATGGCTTGTACAAGTATCCAAGGGGACTTCACATGGCTGGGTGCATAAAGTGGGGACATACAGAAACACATCAGGCAGCATTTGGAAAGGACAGTACATATTTTGGACAGTAACAGTTTCCTTATAATATAGGT